CAGACAATGTACGAAAGCATGAAGGTAAGAGTAGAAAATGCACTAGAAAGAGGGAAGGTTGAAGAGAGGCATATTGATGACGAAGAAATGTTAGACGCCTTTGCCAAATGGACCAACAACTTTACACGTCAAGTTCACCCTACCGTAATACAGGTCTGTTTCACCTTTCAAATCATAATTCCTTCATTTCTAATTTGATTTGATGCCACATCTTGAGTTTTGACACTATATACAAACTCTACTTTGACTAATATTTGTGATTTTTATAAAAAAAAATCAAATACAATCTTGTTGAAATTCTTTTAATGTGTGATTTTAGAATATCAATTTTAATTTTTTTATTTTTTTTTAATGATGATCAAATATGAAATGTGTCTAAAAGAAATGAATATTTTAATTAAAAGCATTTAACCAGATATTGCATTATACCTATGGAATATTTCATAAATTATAACAATGATGATTTAAGGCGTCATATTATTTGTATATCAGGTTTTACTATCTACTACGAAAGACAAAGACATAACTGGTAAATTGATGCCAAACTTGATTTATGTATCAAGAGAGAAAAGTAAGATCCATCACCATCGCTTCAAGGCAGGTGCCCTCAATGCTTTGGTAAGTGTAAATTGACATCTATGTTTCTACTAGAAATGAAGGGGTCAATAATTCGATATACTATTTTATGATTAAGAATCTGTTTTGTTTAGCTTAATTTCAGTTCAGCTTCAATCAGTTCAGTTCACTTTAGTTCCTAATTCCTTTATCTCATAAACAATTTATTTCTATTCAAAAAAAAAAAAATAAACAAATTATTTTAGCTCTATTCTATTCAGTTAAGTTTTGTTCAGCTCTAATTAGTTCAGTTGTTTTCATAAATCGAAACAGGCCCTAAAACACATAAAATGAGATGAAAGGAGTTCTGAGTTACATGTAACCTTTTAAAGCCCTCTAACATTATTAAGAAAATTTCTCCGCCAGTCTAATAGGACCCAATGATCGTATAGAAAATTACACAATCAAGATTGTTGACCACAAAATTATGATTTATATATCTAATGATAAAAAAAAAAAAAAAAAAAACTTATCCTGCCTTTTTATACCACTAGGTTTCAGTTTGATTTGTCAGACACTTTCATTTTTTTTTTTGTATCCATAATGGGATGATTTACAAAAATATAGCTTTTAAGAAACTTATTTACGGTTTTACATTGGAATGAAACTTATTTACGAAAATATAGTCCACGTAGGCTTGGAGATACATTTGGAGGTAATTTTTTTCTTTAGAGACAAACCGCTACCTTAAGTAGCGGTTATAGTCTAAAACCGCTACTTGAGGTAGCGGTTTGTCATTAGTACTCTAAGTAAAGATACATTTAATCAATTTATGAAGGGTAAAATCGCTACCTCAAGTAGCGGTTTTAGTACATAAACCGCTACTTGAGGTAGCGGTTTTACTTTGAAAAATAATAAATTAAAATAAAACCTTATCCGAGCCTACGTGGACAGTAATTTCGTAATTAAGTTTCATTCCAACGCAAAAGTGTAAATAAGTTTTAAAATAACCATACTTTCGTAAATCATCCTCCATAATGCATATGTTCTTATAGTCTTATACTCTTATAGACATATATTTGTATAATATATTAATGTCAATTGTCTGTATATTAATAAAGTATTTGAATTAATGCTGAATTTTCAGTTTCATATCAATATAGTGACTTTGTTGTTTATAGGTTTTTTTTTGGTTCATGTTATTTATAGGTTCGTGTATCAGCAACAATGACAAATGCACCAATAGTACTAACATTGGACTGTGACACATACTCTAATGATCCACAAACCATCAAACGGGCTTTATGTTACTTTTTGGATCCTGAAACTCGGCCCACATTAGCATATCTTCAATTTCCACAAATCTTTCGTGGGCTCAATAAAGGTGACATCTATTTCAGTGAACATAAACGTCTTTTCCAAATTAACACATTGGGAATGGATGGGCTTTCTGGCCCAAATTATGTTGGAACTGGATGCTTCTTTCAACGTCGAGCCTTCTTTGGAAGTCCGTCATCTTTGATCCACCCTGAAGTCCCCGAACTTGGCCCCGATCATGTCGTAAATAAGCCCATTAGATCACAAGAGATTCTCAAATTGGCCCACTCCGTCGCTGCTTGCAATTATGAGAACGAAGAGGAGTGGGGCGAGATGGTGAGACTGTCTTACACTAATTTAATACTGTCTTCATTTCATGCTTTTTGAGAATTTTCAAGTCTTGGCAGCATACTTATCTCATACTATAATGTAATTTACTACTCCATGTTTGTATAGTTGGGCTTCCGGTATGGGTCATTAGTGGAGGACTATAATACAGGCTACCGGATGAAATGTGAGGGATGGAGGTCCATGTTTTGCAGCCCACAAAGGCCGGCTTTCTTGGGGGACTCACCAGTGACACTAATTGACTTGCTAAGCCAGTGTAAAAGATGGATGAATGGGCTTCTTGACGTTCTCTTCTCAAGATATAGTACTATGACTTATGGTATTCAGAAATTGGGCCTAGTCATGAGTTTCACTTATACACATTACACACTTTGGCCCATTATTTCCATTCCATTCACTATTTATGCTTTCATCCCTCAACTTGCTCTCATCAAAGGAATTTCTACCTTCCCAGAGGTAAGGAATACAAGTATATAATTTCTATTTCGTAAACGTAACAATTTTTTTACTTGTATATGTGTAACTATTATTTTTGAAGGGTAAAAATACATGACAAATTTTAATACAATGGTATGATACTCTTAAAATGACAAGGTACAATTATATAAGCTTACAAAACAAAAGCTTTGACCAAAATACATTCTAATACTATTTTCGCCCAAACATGCTTAATTGCGGAGTTCTAATGGGATCTGGTACCAATGTCTCTATTACATTAGCCAACTAGTGACAAGTTGGTGTCCAAAATTTTGAACTAAAAAAATTGTCCTTACTAAGTTGTCATTTGTGTTAGTTTTTCATAAAATTTATAAGCACGTGGTTGAATTTGGTATTCAAGTAACTAATCGCATGTGCTATGGTACAGATTTCAGACCCAAGGTTTATGTTGTACATATTTCTATTCATTGGGGCCAACGGAAAAGACCTAATAGACTTTCTTCTAGAGAAAGGAACATTTGAAAGGTGGTGGAATTCTCAAAGAATGTTGATGATATGTGGACTCTCAAGTTTCCTCTTTGGATGCATGGACTACACTCTTGGCTCATTAGGCATCGTGGTTCGTGGATTTGATGTGACTAGCAAACTACAAGACGATGAACTCAGCAAGAGGTACGATCAAGGGACTTTCGAGTTTGGTGTCGCGTCACCTATGTTTGTGCCTATGACAATGGCAGCCATAATCAACCTGATATCCTTTGTTATGGGACTTTTAGGGGTGTTTAGAAAGGGGATGGAAAATATGGAAGGGCTTATTTTGCAGATTTTGTTGTCTGGTTTTGTGGTGATTAATTGCTGGCCACTTTATCAGGCTTTGGTGTTTAGGAGTGACAAAGGGAGGATGCCCACTAAAATCACCTTAATTGCTGCATTTTTAGCTTCAATTTTGATTTTGGGAAGCTAAACTTATGGTTTTATAAACTCTTGTTTATACAACTTACATAATTATAATGAAATTCCCCTTCTAAATAAAATTTGAGTAGACCACATACATACGTCTCACGGTCTAATTCTGATTCTACTTGAAACATCCATGTACAAGTATGTTTCCTAGTTGGTTTACATTGGTTTCATATGCTATGTCCATCTTGTGTTTTTTCATCTGTTTTTATACTTCGTATTTTTAGTTCGTTGTATCATATTAAGTGACACACTTTATGACATATATTGAGACAAGTTTAACAAGGTCTGATTCTACCTTAAAACATGTATGTTTCTCCTTACGTATAACTAATTATAAATTGTTAAATATAAGTATGTGATTAGTATAAACACCTTAAACGTTCATTCTGGTATAGCACAGTAGCACATTCTCCATTTTGGTTCGTTTCTCCGTTTGATTCAAATTAAATGCAAAATTTTCCATTTTCCAATCCAATTTATTGTATAGCACATTAGTACATTCAAATTAAGACCAAAATCACACTACACTAGTACAAAATCGCACACATGTAGTGAATAGTGATACATAAAAGTGAAACAAAATATTTCATTGTTTCATTTGGCACTTATAATTAGAAACTGAAGAAATTGTTGCTCTCATATCTTGATGATTTAAGTATAAAAGACGTTACTAAATATATAAGCTACAAGTTTTATTCAATTCATATTCATCCTAAGCTACAAAATTTTGGGGCAACCTTAGCTTTTCCCCCTTAACTTATAGACCAACACCCAGAGCAATATAAGTTCCTTCTCTCTAGAGAATCAAATTTTGTACATGACACCCGGCGTGATAGATGCACCAAAATTTGGAATTTAGTAAAGAAAAGGAAGTTCACGTGAGCTTGACCAATAATGGAAGCGGTAGAACCGCAATAATAACCAATATTATACGAAGTACAATTATATACTCCGTATTTGTTCAACTTCGACTCTTCAAGGTGATCTTGAGGCTATGGCCAGTGGCTTATGGATTGCTTTAAAATGTTTGTACCAGCCAACTTTGTCGGTATATTTTTCAATTTTAACTTGAACGAGGTTTGTCTACTTCGATAGTGTACATTGTACAATAATATGCCACTGCAAAATTTTCAGAATAAATTTACTTTTACTACGGAGTATTACCATATTTCCTATATTCTATCGTATATAAATAATAAATTCAAAGTTATAAGTAAGTTATGCGTTAATTAAAGTTAAATTATTGTACTTGTACACCTTCTTTGTACATCTTTTTTATTTGTACTTGTACACCTTGTAATTATTATTACTTTATTAGATAAGACACGAAAGTAAACTCTACTAATTTAAATTATACTCCGTAAATTTTTTTTTTTTTGTTCAACTCGATTAGCCCTTTAGACTAATTCAAATTTGGAGTTCATTTATGAGTTAGATTTCAGTCCCTTATACAGTAAACTTTAACCTAAGTTATAATATGTAGATGTACACAGTACACAAGGATATCTAATTTTTTACGTAGTTTGAAGTAATCTCCTAGAGTCCTAGTTCCTAATTGTTATACAAGTAGTTATTTTATGTTTTTGTTTTACTATATATACGTCATACTACTACATATGTATTTACTTCCTAATAAATGTCCTTGTTTGGGAATTTCTCAAAAAAAAAAAAAAAAAAAAAAAAAAAAAAAGAGAGGCTATTTTACTTACCTTAGTATTTCCATATGTTCAACCATGCATATTTAATGAACATATATTTAAATTTAATCTAGCTAACTCCACAACCCACATCGGCCACATGTTTATAAAATCGCAATTAATTACTCGGGTACTCCCTCCGTCCCTTATTACATTTGTAAATTATGATTTGTAGATTTTTTTTTCTCTAATAATTACGATTTGTAAATTGTGGTTGCAGACAATGTACGAAAGCATGAAGGTAAGAGTAGAAAATGCACTAGAAAGAGGGAAGGTTGAAGAGAGGCATATTGATGACGAAGAAATGTTAGACGCCTTTGCCAAATGGACCAACAACTTTACACGTCAAGTTCACCCTACCGTAATACAGGTCTGTTTCACCTTTCAAATCATAATTCCTTCATTTCTAATTTGATTTGATGCCACATCTTGAGTTTTGACACTATATACAAACTCTACTTTGACTAATATTTGTGATTTTTATAAAAAAAAATCAAATACAATCTTGTTGAAATTCTTTTAATGTGTGATTTTAGAATATCAATTTTAATTTTTTTATTTTTTTTTAATGATGATCAAATATGAAATGTGTCTAAAAGAAATGAATATTTTAATTAAAAGCATTTAACCAGATATTGCATTATACCTATGGAATATTTCATAAATTATAACAATGATGATTTAAGGCGTCATATTATTTGTATATCAGGTTTTACTATCTACTACGAAAGACAAAGACATAACTGGTAAATTGATGCCAAACTTGATTTATGTATCAAGAGAGAAAAGTAAGATCCATCACCATCGCTTCAAGGCAGGTGCCCTCAATGCTTTGGTAAGTGTAAATTGACATCTATGTTTCTACTAGAAATGAAGGGGTCAATAATTCGATATACTATTTTATGATTAAGAATCTGTTTTGTTTAGCTTAATTTCAGTTCAGCTTCAATCAGTTCAGTTCACTTTAGTTCCTAATTCCTTTATCTCATAAACAATTTATTTCTATTCAAAAAAAAAAAAATAAACAAATTATTTTAGCTCTATTCTATTCAGTTAAGTTTTGTTCAGCTCTAATTAGTTCAGTTGTTTTCATAAATCGAAACAGGCCCTAAAACACATAAAATGAGATGAAAGGAGTTCTGAGTTACATGTAACCTTTTAAAGCCCTCTAACATTATTAAGAAAATTTCTCCGCCAGTCTAATAGGACCCAATGATCGTATAGAAAATTACACAATCAAGATTGTTGACCACAAAATTATGATTTATATATCTAATGATAAAAAAAAAAAAAAAAAAAAACTTATCCTGCCTTTTTATACCACTAGGTTTCAGTTTGATTTGTCAGACACTTTCATTTTTTTTTTTGTATCCATAATGGGATGATTTACAAAAATATAGCTTTTAAGAAACTTATTTACGGTTTTACATTGGAATGAAACTTATTTACGAAAATATAGTCCACGTAGGCTTGGAGATACATTTGGAGGTAATTTTTTTCTTTAGAGACAAACCGCTACCTTAAGTAGCGGTTATAGTCTAAAACCGCTACTTGAGGTAGCGGTTTGTCATTAGTACTCTAAGTAAAGATACATTTAATCAATTTATGAAGGGTAAAATCGCTACCTCAAGTAGCGGTTTTAGTACATAAACCGCTACTTGAGGTAGCGGTTTTACTTTGAAAAATAATAAATTAAAATAAAACCTTATCCGAGCCTACGTGGACAGTAATTTCGTAATTAAGTTTCATTCCAACGCAAAAGTGTAAATAAGTTTTAAAATAACCATACTTTCGTAAATCATCCTCCATAATGCATATGTTCTTATAGTCTTATACTCTTATAGACATATATTTGTATAATATATTAATGTCAATTGTCTGTATATTAATAAAGTATTTGAATTAATGCTGAATTTTCAGTTTCATATCAATATAGTGACTTTGTTGTTTATAGGTTTTTTTTTGGTTCATGTTATTTATAGGTTCGTGTATCAGCAACAATGACAAATGCACCAATAGTACTAACATTGGACTGTGACACATACTCTAATGATCCACAAACCATCAAACGGGCTTTATGTTACTTTTTGGATCCTGAAACTCGGCCCACATTAGCATATCTTCAATTTCCACAAATCTTTCGTGGGCTCAATAAAGGTGACATCTATTTCAGTGAACATAAACGTCTTTTCCAAATTAACACATTGGGAATGGATGGGCTTTCTGGCCCAAATTATGTTGGAACTGGATGCTTCTTTCAACGTCGAGCCTTCTTTGGAAGTCCGTCATCTTTGATCCACCCTGAAGTCCCCGAACTTGGCCCCGATCATGTCGTAAATAAGCCCATTAGATCACAAGAGATTCTCAAATTGGCCCACTCCGTCGCTGCTTGCAATTATGAGAACGAAGAGGAGTGGGGCGAGATGGTGAGACTGTCTTACACTAATTTAATACTGTCTTCATTTCATGCTTTTTGAGAATTTTCAAGTCTTGGCAGCATACTTATCTCATACTATAATGTAATTTACTACTCCATGTTTGTATAGTTGGGCTTCCGGTATGGGTCATTAGTGGAGGACTATAATACAGGCTACCGGATGAAATGTGAGGGATGGAGGTCCATGTTTTGCAGCCCACAAAGGCCGGCTTTCTTGGGGGACTCACCAGTGACACTAATTGACTTGCTAAGCCAGTGTAAAAGATGGATGAATGGGCTTCTTGACGTTCTCTTCTCAAGATATAGTACTATGACTTATGGTATTCAGAAATTGGGCCTAGTCATGAGTTTCACTTATACACATTACACACTTTGGCCCATTATTTCCATTCCATTCACTATTTATGCTTTCATCCCTCAACTTGCTCTCATCAAAGGAATTTCTACCTTCCCAGAGGTAAGGAATACAAGTATATAATTTCTATTTCGTAAACGTAACAATTTTTTTACTTGTATATGTGTAACTATTATTTTTGAAGGGTAAAAATACATGACAAATTTTAATACAATGGTATGATACTCTTAAAATGACAAGGTACAATTATATAAGCTTACAAAACAAAAGCTTTGACCAAAATACATTCTAATACTATTTTCGCCCAAACATGCTTAATTGCGGAGTTCTAATGGGATCTGGTACCAATGTCTCTATTACATTAGCCAACTAGTGACAAGTTGGTGTCCAAAATTTTGAACTAAAAAAATTGTCCTTACTAAGTTGTCATTTGTGTTAGTTTTTCATAAAATTTATAAGCACGTGGTTGAATTTGGTATTCAAGTAACTAATCGCATGTGCTATGGTACAGATTTCAGACCCAAGGTTTATGTTGTACATATTTCTATTCATTGGGGCCAACGGAAAAGACCTAATAGACTTTCTTCTAGAGAAAGGAACATTTGAAAGGTGGTGGAATTCTCAAAGAATGTTGATGATATGTGGACTCTCAAGTTTCCTCTTTGGATGCATGGACTACACTCTTGGCTCATTAGGCATCGTGGTTCGTGGATTTGATGTGACTAGCAAACTACAAGACGATGAACTCAGCAAGAGGTACGATCAAGGGACTTTCGAGTTTGGTGTCGCGTCACCTATGTTTGTGCCTATGACAATGGCAGCCATAATCAACCTGATATCCTTTGTTATGGGACTTTTAGGGGTGTTTAGAAAGGGGATGGAAAATATGGAAGGGCTTATTTTGCAGATTTTGTTGTCTGGTTTTGTGGTGATTAATTGCTGGCCACTTTATCAGGCTTTGGTGTTTAGGAGTGACAAAGGGAGGATGCCCACTAAAATCACCTTAATTGCTGCATTTTTAGCTTCAATTTTGATTTTGGGAAGCTAAACTTATGGTTTTATAAACTCTTGTTTATACAACTTACATAATTATAATGAAATTCCCCTTCTAAATAAAATTTGAGTAGACCACATACATACGTCTCACGGTCTAATTCTGATTCTACTTGAAACATCCATGTACAAGTATGTTTCCTAGTTGGTTTACATTGGTTTCATATGCTATGTCCATCTTGTGTTTTTTCATCTGTTTTTATACTTCGTATTTTTAGTTCGTTGTATCATATTAAGTGACACACTTTATGACATATATTGAGACAAGTTTAACAAGGTCTGATTCTACCTTAAAACATGTATGTTTCTCCTTACGTATAACTAATTATAAATTGTTAAATATAAGTATGTGATTAGTATAAACACCTTAAACGTTCATTCTGGTATAGCACAGTAGCACATTCTCCATTTTGGTTCGTTTCTCCGTTTGATTCAAATTAAATGCAAAATTTTCCATTTTCCAATCCAATTTATTGTATAGCACATTAGTACATTCAAATTAAGACCAAAATCACACTACACTAGTACAAAATCGCACACATGTAGTGAATAGTGATACATAAAAGTGAAACAAAATATTTCATTGTTTCATTTGGCACTTATAATTAGAAACTGAAGAAATTGTTGCTCTCATATCTTGATGATTTAAGTATAAAAGACGTTACTAAATATATAAGCTACAAGTTTTATTCAATTCATATTCATCCTAAGCTACAAAATTTTGGGGCAACCTTAGCTTTTCCCCCTTAACTTATAGACCAACACCCAGAGCAATATAAGTTCCTTCTCTCTAGAGAATCAAATTTTGTACATGACACCCGGCGTGATAGATGCACCACCACAACGCTGGTCGTCGAGGTTATACGCCAGCACAAACATGTACACTATACTCCATAGTCGTCTCACGTATCATCACAACTATCCTAGGTACTACCACATGTACAATATTTAGAATTGGATTTTTTCATACCTCCTAACATAAACTTGGACGACGGATTTAATTTATTGGAATGTTACTTGGTTTAAATTAGAATTATATTTAAAGGTATTTTATGAAGCGTTGTTGCTACTTGAAGGTAACTCATCAGCAATTTCAATTACATGCTCTTCCGTTCTTGTTGAGTTGTGCACTTCTGAGGTACTACCACTTCCAACGTTTTCTAACTCAAGTTGTGAGATAGGGTTACCATTTCCTAGGTTTACAAGGTCTGGACCAAGCCCAACAGGCCGGCCCGTCTTTAGGGCAGGCATGACATGGCACCTGCAGAGTGGACACGTAGCGTTGGTTCGGAGCCAGAGGCGGATGCAATCGCCATGGAACACGTGTTTGCACAATGGCAGTTGTCTTAGCTCCTCCTTCAACTCAAACTCTCCCAAGCAAACACAACATCTAAGGAAGGGAAACAAATTAGAGTTAATAATTTTTAATTGAAGAAGCAAAAAGGTAAGCAAATTAAAAGAATATACGATATTATGGTAGACTTTTCAACATTTCGTTTCCCTTTGAATGCCTAACTATTAGGCAATTAGCTCACCATTGTCGTAATTCAAAACAAGCAAACAAAACTTGTATACCTACAAGTGGAAGTAGTGCATTATAACATTCTTCAATATAAGGCGAAAGACAAAATTAGGCAACAATTTACACTTTTTTTTCCATTTCTTTCTTACTTTGGCCATTTGCTACATCAAAGTTTTACAACAAAAATAGGGCGAATCTAACAAACGCATCTAAGTGTCAAAATTCTTCCTTATACGCATCAAAATTCAAAAGTATACTTTTAGTAGCCTAAAAAGTAAAAACTTTATATTATATGACTAAGTAATAAGTAAGCATGATAATGATGATGTGTGTTGTTATATATTCCTTTGATCTCTTTACCTTACAATAAAATTTATACGTGAAAAAAAATAATAATAAAAAAAATTCCTTATATCAAGCAATTTAGAGCCTACCAAACTTAGACTATTTTTTTTTTCAAGCTGGGTCGACCCCAATTGTGAGAAAAGCTTCTTAACAATATATTCTTTTAGAATTTCATTAGATTGAGAGGGCAGGAGATAAGAATATAATATATGCTTAAAAGGTTAATTAAAACCTCCACTAATTAAATCTCATTTTGGCCACCTAGAATTAACACATCAGCTAAAATAAAGAAGAAAATAAATAAAGCATGCACTTTTTTAGAAGGTAAAACTGTAAAAGAAGTGACACAATCACTAACTCATAAAGGATAGCATTATCTTTATTCTTTAGCATTTTAAAATAAACCAAATAAGCTTTGATAATGATTATAAGACTAAGCAGTAAGCACAGTAATTAATCATTTACTTACAGTGAATCTTTTGATCTTAATTCTTCATCAAACTGGATTACTTGTAACTTGTCCTTTATTTCTCCTTTGATCCCTATACTCCATGGCTATAACCCAAAAAAAAAATAAAAAAATCAGAAACTTTATTTCAAATAATAAAAATAAATATATGACTAATATGATCACTTAAAAATTTGGATTTCTAAAAGTGTTTTTTTCATTGCTCGATAATAATACTTCCTCCGCCCACAATTATGTGTACAACTATGAAGTACGAGAAGAAGTAAGTGTAAAGTACTAAAAATAGTAAGTGAAGAAAGCTTACAGGGGAAAGGAAAGAGACAGAGTGATGATGAACAGATTGCTGTAATCTTGGATGTGTTGACATATTATTGTTGGCTCTTCTCTTGAGATAAAAGAGATAAAATAAAAGAAATAAAATGATGGCAAATAATATTGGTATTGAAAATATAAATGCTTGATATAATTTAAGCTGTAATTCTTCTGGGTATAAATTTGGATTTGTAGGAATTTCATCTTCATGTCTCCCCATAATTTATAATATCAACTTAAACTAAGATTAATAATAATACCACACAAAATTTTTATTGTTTTTAGATATTTAGAGTTGAAAGAGAAAGGGAAGGAGGATTTTGGTGCTTCAATTCAGCTCTATTTATATAGTAGTACAAGGGATTCAATTTATCAATTGATTTAATAATTTAGAAAAACAGTTGAGGAAACGACAATAAAAAATAAGCAACTTTTGTACATAATATAGGAGGCTAGAAGGGTGTTTTTAAATGAACCACAAATGATGAAATATTATTATTCTCTGTGTTTATTTCATTTTTATTATTTTGATGGGACAAGCCCATAATTCTCCACTAAGAGAGGAAAAAGATAGGAAAGAGAAAAAAGTTTATAGAAAAAATATTTTATGGGCCCAATATAACATTAAGCGCAATTAGGGGCCTACTTGATGCTAATCTTTTAGCCCAAATGGAGCCCAATTATTATCCCACATTTTCAACTGAGGATGATAGGCAAGATAGTTAAAATGATTGGAGAATGCATAGTGGTAAAAATTAGAATTAATGAAATTTAATGCTACCTCCGTTAAATGTTATGTGTAACTTTGGAATATTTTATATCTCACAAATAATACCCTAAAGTTGCACATAATATTTAACGGAGGTATTACTAGTATTTAGTGATGCTAAAGTTCAAAATAAATTTTGTTTAATGTCAATTCTATTTTCTGCCATTTGAGAATGGAGTTCTTGTAAATTGTGGTTTTAAGTTATGGGTGTGACATTAAAGTACATGGAAGATGAGACAACATCATTTCTATCATGGGGTATGATGTCTTTTTATTTTTTTTAAAAATGGTTTGTAACGATAATCAATTACTCCATATGATTAATGTGTATGACAATTTGGTTGTGAATCTAATTTTTGAAAATTGTCTTAATTATATTATCAACTTTATGGAATGAATATGTAAAAGATATCTTCATATAAAAATATGTTTTTTTGACAAGATTGTCAACAATAAATATCGGTTTTTAGTTGGTCTGAGCTCAAATGTATAAAAGCTTTCTTTAAGTATATAGAAAGAATTTCATTTTATATTATCATCATTACAACTAACCATAAATTTTATAATGCCCCTTATCATAAATTTGTATACCAATTACAAAGTACCAGTATTATTTTAGTTTGTTTCTCTTTCTAACAACTAAGATAACTATTCTACTCCATTTTTATTACAACTAAGATAACTATTCTACTCCATTTTTATTACAAAATATCCCTACTAATTAGTCATATAATTATTTTTTTTATTCATTTTATAAAACATACTATATGTACAATGTATAAAGCAATTAAAAAAAGTCTTATATGAGACAATATCACAATTTGATCCGATTGATAAATTCTTTAACGGATAGCATCTGCATTAGATTTTTTTTTTTTTTTTTTGGGGGGGGGGGGGGTGGGGGGAGATCACATGTTATTTCGTAGCAATTGACTATTCTTTCTACAAATAAAATCACATATTTGATCTACCAATTTTGTTTGTTTTGACAAGGTTAGTTATAACTCTTAATAACAAGGTAAAATTGTCGGGAGACAAATAAATTAACCAATGTTATGAGCAAATGTTGTTGAAGACCTAGCATATAGCTAGACAAGAAGTTTGGTTTAACAGATCTTCAATTCAAGTGACGAATCACCACCACAACAACCCACCACCTTAAAATAAAATAGCTAGGTAAGTAAACACATTGTCTCTTTGAAGACCACATTTGAAAACCATGATTATGATTAGTGGTTGGTGGTGGTTCGGTTAAAACCTAACCACGAAAATTTTGCTACTTTGTCTTTTATCATGGAGTAAGTCTTAATTAATGAGAATTGATAATTTGATATAAATAGATATAGACGAAGTATAATTAATTTCGATTTTTCTTAATTAAAAGGAACATTAAGAATTTTCTTGGTTTTCATCTGCTGCATTATCAATTTTATCATATCAATAAGACAATATTGGAGTTGATCATATTCTTCCTATCACACTCTAATATATATGGATACTTTTCCAAATTGCGCTATATACTTTTATGATTTTTCAAACTGTATTCGAGTAATAGGCACAATACTACTTTCAAATATTACGGATTATATTATTTTTACAAACTAAATTATTAGACAATTTTATAATTACTAAAAATTATGTCTTTTGAATCTAAGAAATTGTATGTTACTTGTACGTATAATCGTGTATTTGATCACTTAACCCCTACGGCTCTGCATAAACTTTGTTTAATATTTCTTCATGACTTATAATTTATTACTTATTATAATATACGGAATATAAAATTTTATATGTGGGTGGGTTTACTTAATTATGGGTTACTTGATCTTGGATTACTCAATAGGTCATGGGTTACTTGGTAATCAAAGTTACCCGTGTATTAGCCGACCATACAGAAAAAGCATTTATTATAATAAAGTGATCCAAAAAAAACTATAGCCAAGGACCACAACCCTGTTTTACTCTATTAATTAATACAAAGCATACAAAACTTTTTCTTTTGCAATTAAATTAATGGAAGTAAGTTGTTACAAATCAAATAACAACATCTAGTTAAATGACTAGGATGTAATATATACTTAATTCAAGAGGTAAATCAACTTACAAAGATTTATAACTTTTAAATTTGACTAATTTGTCCTATATACATTTGGTTACACAAAATTGAGTTTGAGACAATATATTGTTGAATTAAACAGTAAAGTTTTAATTGTTTATACGAAAGTGTTGTCTAAAGTTCTTCATGTAGGAATTTGCGAAGACGGACTTAAAAAGTTAGTTGGAGTAGTTAAGATTATCAACTCTTAAAAAATAAAGTTTCACCAATTAACACCCTGCATACTTTCACATCATCAACTCTTAACATCAGAAGAATTCTGACGTGGCAGCCATTATCACCTTAAGACAAAATTGTAATCTTATATGTACTCCTAATTCACCTTATTAAGATCTTTAATTATCTCATGAACCATTAGTTATCGCATGAGTTTCAAAAAAAAAAAAAAAAAAAAAAAAAAAAAAGAGACAACTATAATATTGTATGCATCATTTCGCTCAAAGGTTTATCTAATTACGTAAGTAAAATTGCACTTATAAAGTAGTATTACGTAAGTAAAATTGCACTTATAAAGTAGGTGTTTCTGGTCAGGGTCAACGTCAGGGTCGGGTGGGTGTTTCTGGTCAGGGCCGAGGTTAAAGTCGGGTGGGTATTTCTAGTCAAGTCGAAGTGGGTGTTTGTGAGTTGGTGTCGAGGTGTGAGTTTCTAGGTTAAGATCGAGGTAGGCTGGCTACGGGAGATCGTGGTGGTGGCAGACTCACGATGAGTCCGTCTCACCCAAAACTTTACCACAAGGGAATATTGCTAGACAGTGGCAAATATATGTATCACCTTACATGACTTTATCAGACCAGCTACTTGCGCTAGTTGACATCCATACATAATAACCAATAACCTTAATTAGTGTACATTATTTAGTGTACAGAGTAAGTGCAAATAATTGGCATCCACCGGAGTGAGTGGATCAAAAAGTAAACAACCTCTAGTCTAAAATAAGATAAATGAGAAAGAAGTCATGTCTAGAACTATAAGATTATGGAACTACATCATCAAATCTGATTCTCTAATATGCCCAAAAATTGTATGAATCTTACACGTACAACTTTTATTCATTAAAATTGGGGATAAAGTGGAGGGTTAGCTTGTTCCTATTAGCAACCAAAGAGACTATGATTGAGCTGCGGAAAAACGTACATAAATTAATAGAATCGCATGTTTCCAATCAAATATGTTTAGTACTACTATTTATTTTTATTTTTTTGACAAAAAATACTATTAATGAAAGACAGTATTACAACCTAAGTAGAGTAAAGAAACTAAGAAAATGCTCAGTGCTACTTGTTAATAATTGTAATGGCTTTAATGCTTTTATGCGGCTCTTTGAAGTGCCAAGTGAACAAAATATCTTGCAACTCACTGAACAGCATCAATATACATGATTAGTGCTGTCTGATACAGATTAAGGAATACCTTTTCTTAATATAATACATGATCTTTTCTATAATATATTGTATGGCTTGAAATTTCTGAATATTTCATTATAAATAATACACCATGAAAATATAGTGTTTTCAAACTCGGAGTATTGGTAAGAGAATCATACATGAATGTAATTATAAGGTGTCGTTTGGTTGCTATGGGAATTTACTTCCCATAGGAATTTGTATTTTATGGGAATTAAATTCCTACATCAAATTCATGGGAATTGTTTAAAATTGTTTGGTTGACATGAAGGAAGTTGCAAATCATGAGAATTTTGACTTACCTAGGGGTGGTTGGGTAATCAACTTCCCATGTTTTGTGGGAAGTCACAATTCCCATGAATTTGCAATTTCCTCATTTTCACTTTTTAGTGTCAATCAAACAACTCACCCATTTTCAAATTCCCATAATTTTTGACTTCCTCCATTTTCTTTGTGTAACCAAACAACCCCTTAAGAAGAAAATCTCGAGTGAGCTTTACAAGATCGAATTGAAAATTATAACAGAGGAATGAAGGCCTCCTCTAGAATTTTTTTATTAGACGCGAGGTTCCAACAGTTTATACTTAATTGATCTAGGAGTTCTTCTCGGGCATTTTGAAAGAAAAAAAAATACGAAGCACTTCCTATAATCTTTAACTTCATCCCTTTGAAAGAAAGAGATAGAACCGAGGAAAGTTGGAAATACGGCCATAGTGGATCTATTCTATGTCGAATGAACAACACAGCAAGCAAATTAATTCCACGTTGGCAAGCCAACAGCGGTACAACTGTCCGCTTTTCGACTGGGAAGATCAGTTTATCATCAAGAATAACTTTCCCACCGGGGCTAGCTCTAGTGGATATTGACAAGATTGGTTGGTTCAAGTCTGCTAATTAGCCAAATCTGACATTAATCACCTATCTGAAGAACTTTCAATCCCGAATCAGAGAAATCTTCATTATAAGTAATCATAACTTGTGCTATTCAACCTCAGTCTAATCGAGGTAACAAACACAGCTAAAGCCATAATCAGATAATGGCTGTCATATTCAGCATGAGTACCTTACAATAAAGTTATTGCTGCACATGGAACATACCAACAGGAAAAAGAAATTTCGATCTGAGGCGAAGTTGTGTCATTTCAAGGGAATATGGAAAGAGAAACACTATAGTTCAAACA